GCGTGTGAAGTATTCAGAACCCAATAAAACAGAGATAACAGATGACTATATTTAGAGGAGAAAAGCTAGCGGGATAGAAATTGGTTACTTGAATATTCTTTGATAGTGCCACCCCTGCCCAGCTAGTTGTCGTAGGTAATAAGCATTACAATTTATTGTCCAAGACATACAGGTGTATTCACTCTACTATCATGAGCAGTGTCTCCTTTGATTTATGTGACTAAAACATCTGTGGGTGTCATGTGGACGTGAGAATTGTTCGGCAAGAAAAAGGAATTGCTTTTCATTGAAAAAAGGACAGTGTCGTTCGTACATGTCACTGCTGGCGTGCAGTCGGTTCACGGCTTCTTTTTCATCGTATATACTCTCACCTAGACCAGCTTACCAATTATTCTGTGGAACGAATGAGGTAGTCCATGAGGAATGGAAACATACTTTACATTCGGTGTAGAAAGCCCAGTGCAACGTTTCATTTGATGTAAGCTGTTCCGTTGGTCTCTTTTTAGAAATGCTTCAGTCCGAAAGTCTCAATGTACACTGGGTACTCATCTCGGCAGTGACCCATGCATTTGTTCTTCGAATGTTTCCATCTACTCCAAAACAAACAGTAGTATAGTTGGGTTAAATCTATCGATCGCAACCACAATCAGTTAAGTCCGTTCGAACTGATCTCAGTGAAGGTTTTCAGACCGTAAGGTTGTCGGAAACTCGGGGACTGCGTTTACTTAATCAGTCTCAAGCAGATCGTCACTGCCGAAGAGGTTTCAACAACCTTGTGCAAAGTGTGGCCAAAGTTGATAGTGTATGCCCGGTACAGTGTACATTGATATAAAGACCGTGTAGAAACCTTATGGCTGGGGAATGACGAGTAATTTTGAACGTACAAGCTTTTGAAGTAGTCACTGTTCATAAATGAGCCATAAACTGATGGACTCTCCCCACTACCAGGTTCCAGAAAGTAGCCGGACAAAATCCCATCAGTGGTGCCAAACGCATCTGTGTGGTCTAAGAAAATCAACTGAACGACTTTGTTGTTATATTCATTTGATAAAGGGTTAGATTGTACCAAGCAAGCAACAACGTGTAGCGTCAAAGGCGATCATTGCTGGGCAAACTTATGAGTCTGTGGTCCTAAGATCCACCTAATATCACTTTCTCGAACCTTTTCAAAAGGAATTAGTTGATACTTCGATCAAACTCTCATATACATGAGAAGAACATCGTAACCGAGTGATTCAGATGGGTCCCAGGTGAGTCTTTTGTCAGAAACAAATTGATTTGCAAGTGAGTGTATAGTTCAAAACTCGCATACAACTTTGTCACTCTTACCAAGACAGTGGTTGAACCAAGCATCCACAGGCTCATTGAAAATGCTAATCAAGACTATAGACGGGTGATCAGCAACACTTGCTTTTCCAGATATTTCTTCAATAAGTTGCTTATGCTTTTGTCAGAACAAATTGATTTGCAAGTGAGTGTATAGTTCAAAACTCGCATACAACTTTGTCACTCTTACCAAGACAGTGGTTGAACCAAGCATCCACAGGCTCATTGAAAATGCTAATCAAGACTATAGACGGGTGATCAGCAACACTTGCTTTTCCAGATATTTCTTCAATAAGTTGCTTATGAACAGTGTATACCGTAATTATATGTCTCATTAGGCTCTTAGAAACCAGAGAATGTGATAGACTGTTCATCTGGGCCAATGAGTTCGTACAGGATTCCACTGGAATCGCTGTCAAGCAAATAATGCTCAGGACAGCTGCCTCAGTGCACTCTACACCTCCTGACGTTGCTTGTTACTAAGAAGCTTTTGGAAGTGGTTTTCCTCAAATAGGTTTTGATGTGTTTTGTTTGGTACGTGACATCCACTGGACGTCTCCCCTGATAGGCCTTTTCTTGTTACATGTGAAAAATTCTTGAGGAGTGCGGAAAATCTGTCAGTTATTGTATGAGGGGTCTCTACAAAACACAAATTCAAACAGAAATTACGAAAAGCAACCAGATGTTCTGAACTACACAAAAGGAGTGTTAGCATAGAAAAAATCGGAAACCAGTTAACAGGAAGTATACATATCAGTTGGCCGGTTTCTTGTGAGCAGTTCCTTTGTCAATCGAACCTTGAGGATTTCTCAATATAATGACTGTAGTCTGTGTTTCGATTCATCTCTGGAAGAGAATTCAAACGCTGAGACCAAATGAGCAGACGAGATACCTCCGTATATTTTGAAAGTACTTGTATCACTGAGAAACAGCCGGCGAAGTTGTTCATTCAGCCCTGTTAGGAGTCCGAAGAGAGTGAGAGAAAACATGAGCAGGTGAACGTCTTTTGCGAGGATACATAAAGCCGGTATAAGGAAATTATTCAGCACGGGAAGAATCTGAAAGTGATATTACCTCAGAAATATTACTCGGATAATATATATACTTTCAGAAAAAGGAGGATGTACCTGCCCACTAAATGAGGTTTTCTACTCAAAACCAGGGAGTCAATGTTTTTGGGGGAGTGTCACACAGAACCAGTTAGACTCGTTAGGCGGTATGCTACCATTTCTATAAAGATTTTTCTAGGGTTTCCAGAACAGACTATAGCCATCAGGCTGAGGGTCGTCGTCAGCATGCGTTTAACTTTTTACCGGTTCAACAACACTGACTTTCCTCCACGATTAATCTGTTCAGGGTTCCGATCGACGGACTGGCATCACTAAAACGTGTTGACTGCACTAACATCCCGCTCGAGTGCGACGAGGTAGTCGGCGCAATGTTTCCTTCCACTTCGGAAATGCTTCCAAATGTCTTAGATGTTATAAGGTTCGGACCAAAGGCGGTTAGGGTAGCAAAAGTGTTTCAGGATTTTAACGAATGTTGGCTGAGTGTCTGTAGCGAGATTAGTGTTCCAGTTCAAAAGGAATAGGGAATGACTTGCTGTCATTGTTTGGAAGGAAGTCATACCGTTTGAAGTTTGGTCACTCATGCCATGGTTATTCACCCTTAAGTCCGGTTTCCGAGGCAATAACAACGTGAGCATTCAGATCCATAACGCAAGGCAAAATTAGGTCAGGCGGAGTTGGCAAAAGAGCACTATCGCTGAGCAGCACAAATGAATGCCTTGTGTTGTATCTCTTCACCTTCCCTGACGCTACTGGGTTATAGTCAGAAGACAAGAAGACGACCTGAAGTAACTGTGTATTATCACAATTACAAACTTCTATATATATGATTCACTTGTGACCGTATTTGATGGTCGATCCACTGTCAACCAACCAGTGTGTATGCTACACGCCCACACCGGTTCTCGGGGGGTTGTTCCTTTGTCTTGGTTGATCATAGATGACCACCTGTGCGCTTGTGTACGGGGTGCCCTGGCCATGGAGTGGGCGTGAACTTTCTGTGCCCCTTTTTGACCTTTCTCCGGCACATGATGAAATCGGACGTGATTCAGACGTTAAGGCGTAATCGCACGGCCCTGTTTGACATGATTGTTCCGCTGAGCAGTAGGCTAATGCGCAGCCATATTACCTTGGTGATGAACTACTCCACGAGTGGAGGTTCGTGAAGGTATCAATGCGGTGACCGGAACGCACAGTAATACACCTCGGCACAAAAAGCATTATTCAAGTAAATAAAAGGTTTGCACTAGGACGGAGCTATCTGACTTAAATCTCTAAGAACGTCACTTACGCTGGAAGCATAGTGCAGACATTTCACTGTTGTTAAGTAACTTCATCAGTGTGCATCCAATAAGCCTCCACAGGAAGATTTTACCATGCAACGTTTCGGGTTGAAGACTGAACACTTTACTATTCAGGTGGGGTTAGCTGGTCATTTTTTGGTCAATTTTCCCTTACCCTCCAGCAACGTTCTTCCTCGCGCCACAAAGTTCACTCCATATTGCCTGGTAAAAAACATCTGGTTAAAAATTTACACATTATCAACGAGTTATTAGTCAAGGTTCTTTTTTGTGTGCGGAACCTACAATAGTTCCGGTAAAAACACCCCAAGGTGTCTTCATTCTAAGTTCCTCCCGAATGGCTAGTAGCTAATATGTCCCAGAGGCAGAAAGTTTGAATTAATCAAAGCAAAACGGGTGACTAGCGAATTTTTGCCGCGCATATTTTCCACATCAGTAGATTCCAGTGAGGGATTACTTGATTTCATAAGGAGAAGAGTGAATATAATTATGTGCAGTAAACGAGAAGCTGTGAATAACGTAAAAAAAATCAACAGGACATGCAAAGAATGGTTTTTGAGATAATGCAGGTGACAGATGAAGACTCAAGAGGTAGGCCTACGTGGTGTCCGGGGAAGGAGGAATTGAGTAGTAGCAGGCTGATATTCCTCCATAAGTTATGGGATTCGGATTGTTTCCATTAGACTAGTTTAGGGTGTTCTGTTTGATTGCTTGTAAACAACCGAAAAACTTATTTAAATGCTTCGAATTCTCGTGCACAATAGGAAGTGACCCCTAAATGCCTACGGAAAGCCCAAAACGAGAAAGATTCCTTTCCGGTCAAAACTCTTCGTAGATGTCGTTACCTGCCAATACATATTCATAAAATAGCTACACTTGTGTGGACAATATTCTAAAAGTCTTACAAGGCACACACATTGATCCAGATATGACCTGCTCACAAAACGTATTCCGTAGTTCTGTTGGCAGTTCCAACCAATGAGTTCAAACGCTTAACACTTGCAAGCTGCAGCGTTTTTGGGAAACCTTATCCACAATTAAAGATGCATAAACTTATTTAAAAAGGTTCAAAATAACCAGAAACTTTAACTAGTTCTAGCTGTTAGGAATCTCGTCATTATTTTAACCTTTATCACTTGGGCGCTGCTACTTTTGCAGTTGGGATTTTCGACCCAAACGTTTATTAATTATTTCAGACAATCTGCCTGATAGTATCGAGTCTGATTGCTGTATCTAAAAATAATTGATCAATAATTGTGATATAGCTTCACTTAGATGAGGTTTATTGCTGTATCTGTTGTTTCAGTCTTGGGATAGACTGTTGTCCAGAAATGCCCAGAGACTGGCGTCAGAATGCAGAGTGGGACATGACAGTGGCAGTGAACGAGCTACCCCAACTTTTCCGTTGGTTGGACAAAACTGGGCCGGAACGGATAACTATACAGAGTGAGCAAATACACAGAAGGTATTTTATATTTGTATTTTGAATGACAGAAAATACGTTTGCATTTTCGCTGACTTTGAAAATGAACCATGATTCTATCACGTTTACTCCTGTAAAGTTGAGTGAAGCTTACAATCTTATGGTTTGTTGGGTGCACTCGAGCTGAAGAAGAAAAAATCGGACATCGCTTTTCGGTTGCGACTGTGTTGGTTCAAATTTCTACAAGCAGGTTAGAGGAGAAATATTACAGTGATTGGTGGGTCATGTGAGAAGGAAAGCCGTGCAGTGCTGTCAAATTCTTAGTATGAAATTTTTTTTAAAAATTGTATGTACTACATTTACACTTTGGAGATGTACCTCAAAAGTCAGTGTGCTCGCCATAAAAGGCTGTTGGTAAACGGTTGATATTTGCGTTACTGTTTCTTCAGTGCGGTTATCTGGCAAATCCAGAAAAATCGATTTTCCTAATAATTTTTGGAATGCAGGATGTTTGCTTTGAAATAACATCAGAAAACATGCTCCGTATTGCATTTACTATATCCGCAATGACAGCTCGTTCACAGTAGTCCTTAAATACGTTGAAGAAGACAGTCACTTAGTATACTACCGAAAAGCTAGCATATCTCCTAAAACCTTGAGAACAGGGCCAGCTATTGTTGGACTTGAGATATTTATCGTCTCTGCTGACTTTCAGGCGATGAAGGGCATGTGTTCAGTAATTGTGAAGCCATTTGCCAATTCGTGTCCAATCTCTGCAGGCCATAGAGATTATTTGTGATATCTGTAATACCAATTAAAAACAAATAAAAAACCGACAAACGGTACTGTCTGAATCAAAGCGAAGTTAACAACGGATAAATCAAGAAAAATTTCTGTTGTATACGTTTTGATCTTGCCTGAATCTGTGTTTGCACCGAACAGTAAAAGTCTAGACGGAATGTAGGCATAATCTATTATCCTAGTATAACAAACGGACTTGTTTTACTCGGTTAGTACCCGCGTAATTTTTGTCTTGCGCCTACGAAGCTTACCATACTTGTCGGATTAAATTAATGAAGTTTCTAGAGTCTGGTTTTGTGTTCACTAAAGTCAAAGATGGTCATTGACAGTGGCCATCGTAGGCAACGTGCACTCTTTCACAAACTATCTCATGATTGACGGCTTCCGTTAGGTGCATGTTTGTGTGAAACCCAGGCATTACAACCGATTGCATTGCGTACTCAGATTCGAGTGTAAGGTGCTGAACTATCCAACCCGGCAGGCCAGTTTTTGTGCTTGCGGATGAAGAAAACCTAGCGATGGGCTGGTTATACGTCGGAAACTGAGGTACTGATAAACAGCAGATTTGTATATTTGCTGATCAAGGCTATTCGGTAATGTAAATCCTAAGCAGGGCAATGTTGAAGATGGCCCTAAATAACTGAAGCACTCAAATTCTATCGATCCTTTCAGCAGTGAAACTAGTCACGCACTCCGTAACACCCTGATTAAGGGATTCGTGGCCGAATATCTGCGGCTAAATTTCACCTTGTGCCGTAGTTTCTGGCATTCTGTTTGTGCGGAAGATGCATTATTGTTAGCGATGGAGCAAATAACTATTGGGATTGAACGCCAGACTAACTGGTACATCACGAATTTTGCACTCTGGAGTATACGTTGTCTGACGTGATAACAATGCAGGATGGCATCGATTCACAATTCAGTACAAACGTATAACCTACTAACTTGTGCCTATTTAGCTAATACCGTGATTATCCTTTTTGCACAAAATTTGTTTCCATGTAGCCATCACATGAGACGAATTCCTAATTTTCATAATAGGGCTAGGCACTTATTGTATGAAGTTATTCTTTTTCTCTCGAAGCGCGGTGCGTCTTTGGTTTGAAGAGTACAGATTTTACGACTATCGGGAAAATACTTGCGAGTCTGGAAAGTTGTGTGGACACTACACACAGGTGAGCTTGATCCAGAGATATCCTGCTATGGACATCATCACCTGTACGTTATCACATTAATTATGAGCACGTTAGTTGACTGCTACTAAATGTATTTTTGGTTTCAGTGACCCGCTGTGTAGATTTTCTTATTAGAGGATCGGTATTGCTACGTCAAGTCTGCCATCCCCACTGCTGATCGGCAGCCTAGTAGGACAGTTTAGTATTTAACTACTGGCCGCTAGAATGCTGATCATTCCTGACAAGAATAATGTACAGTGCTTCTAGGCCTTTTGGTACACATTAACTTCACTAACCAGCCAAAAGCTTGATGACAAACTTAGCAAAAGCTCGTCAGTGGTTTCACCTGACAAGTTCGGTAGTTGATTTCACTGACTTCTTTACTGTCTTCAATCTTCATGACAAGTCTGTTTCAGTCCTTTTCGTGAATCACATGTATTTTGCATTGTTCTCCTCATCGCGCTATTACACTAGTAGAGACACCCACCTTAGTTCCTATACTCATGAAAAGAGGGTTTCATGGGCATCGTTTATTATTACAACCATCACTGCCCTCAAAGCAAACGCACCGTTGCCACGAAATGGAGGGTTTGTAACTGTGATTAATACGATTGCAATCTTTACATTCCAAGAAAAGCTAAACATATCCTTTGAACCTTTATTATCTTGTGTGTTTGTGGTTAGGCGAGTCTTTAGAGTACGTATTTCCTACGAAGTCCATGGAAGATGCCACTTAGAGTCAGGCCACATGGTTAAGGTTAAAGATTTTGCAGCAGCTTGGTGCTTGACTTTGTTTAGTGGTTTTACTTCCTTAAAGACTACCGAAGTAACGTCAAAAGATGCCTGAGTGTTGTTTAGTTGATATGATTTCAGCTTCTTTCCCCAAGGTCTATAATCGCCTTAAAGGTGTCAAAATTTCGCCAAACAAATATGCGAGCTTCCTCACGTAAAGTTAAATACATACGTTGTTTTGTTTACAGTTAGTGTGGGCCGAAACCAGAAAAATAGGATGCGGAGTTCAAAATTGTCCTGCGTCGACTTTCCCGTATGGCTATTCTGTCGTTTGCAACTATGGACCTGCGTAAGTGAAGAAAAAATGTTCCGGTGAAATAAAAAGTACGCTAACACCCCCTCCCTAAAATGAACGATTCAGGGGACCGTCGACTTCATCTCCAACCGGAAAGTAATTTGATCATGACAAGCGCGAAATTTCAAACAAATTCAGACAAATGCGTGAGAAATATTCGTCTAAATTGATATAACGGTTGTGTGTTTCTGAGTGAGTGGTTCTTTTATATACTATATGCCGGTGAGTTGTTTTAATCTCCCTACACGCAGGGCGAAAGGCACTTCCACCGCCACTCCTAGGTGCACCGACTGATCACAAAATGACAAAGTCGTTTCTGCCACACTGCGGAGCGATATTTTGTCGTGTAATTTCAACAACTTTGTACACCTAAGGACAATAAACCCAAAAGCCAAAGAAAAAGTTCTGAGTTTCAATAGTTTCCGCAAAAAGACCAGCCATCGTGGAACAGAATCGGCCGTCATTTGATTGTATGAAACACCACAGTCGTTCAGGATAATACAAAGTGTCTTTTGTAACCTGTCAGATATATCAAGTGAGAGACTCCGATTCATGATGTTACGGTCCGGACAGTCAAGTTTGAGTTCCCCGCTGTTCTAACATTATATTTGTGGTGGTGCTAAAAATAACCAGACCCATAAAATAAATGCTAGCCTTGAATTAGTTTGAACTCTTCCTGGAGGAACTACGTAACTGTGGTGGAGGAAGCGCAATACAGTTTTGAAAAGAAGTTTATTGCACTTGGCGCATTTTAGAGTAACGTGAAAAACTATGGTTAAAAATCACTGCAAGAACTCTGGAACACTTAGTAGAACCTCGCGTGTTGTCATTTTATGAGGACATACAAAAGACTCAACTCATGGGCATATAACAAAAACTTTTATTGGGATCAGAAGGATTGTGTTTCATGAATAGATGTGAAATTTACGTGGAACCTTTACAGTCAGAACACAGCCTAGTGGAGTAAAGATTTATGATCTGACGTTTCCGGTACCGTAGACAACCTTTTTCAAAGAATTTCCACAATCACCTGCATGTGGACCATGTACAGAATTATTTGGGTCCTGTCTGGTCAGTTGGTAGCCAGACGCGAGCAGCTTGTGTGGGCGGGTGTTTTATCCGAATGCATTTATGCATGATCGCATGTGTAATTTGGTTGCGAGGTGTCTTGGCTTGCTATTGTGTTGGCTGTGATACATAGGTGTTGAGCTTCCTGCTTTACACCTGGCGAGTATGTCCACCAAGATGGGTAATTCCAAGCCAGACAGGGGAGGTGATAGCTCCATGACTACGGTTTACTCAGTCCGGTTATTTGTTGATCTGGAGTGTTTCAGCGCACCAAATTGAGAAAACGTTAGGAAAGTGCAAGCTCAAATAAAAATGGGGAAAATTAAGTTAACTTCAACTTGTAAAATAAGTTGCAACCAAGCGACTTTGCCTTCAATAAATTGCTCGAAGAAGCCTATCTGCTTTCTGCCAAAAAGGAGACTGTTCATGCTGTGTGGCTCCAATCTCGAACTTATCCGGAAACCGTTAAAAATGTAGTAATCCATGCTATAGATCTTGCACAATCGAGATTCCCATCGGACGACTCAGAAGAAGCTTGCTTACGTATCTGCATTATTCACAAAAACGAACGACCAATTCGAAGCAACCCGCTACCCGATGAGCTTAGCGCACTGACTTAACTGGACAAACACGAGTCAGTCAACTTCGCCAAAGCGACCGAGAGAAATGTAGAAGTTGTGAAGCGCAAGGACTATAGAGACGAAGTGCTGGAAGACCAACACTGGGTCCCTACAAGAAGGTTGAACCACAGAAATATCTCCAACCCGTCCTCTAAGGAAGGGTTTGGTTTGAGATCTACCTGCAGTAGGTGATAATGTGAATTATCACATATCAGACGTTTATTAGCCATGAATACTTCTAGTAGTATAGTAGACTGACTCTTTTGTGAGATTACCGTCTAGTTAGGTGCTCGCAAATTAACCTGAGCCCGGTAATGTCCCTTCGAGAGTATGTTCCATTGTTCCATTTGTTGTACTTATTTCGGTAGAAGTCACGTACTGTTTATTGCTGTCAGTCTACAAATTATGTTACTTTACGTTGCATAAATAGTACGAGGTAAAAAAATTGTTAGTTTTAAGCAAGGTTACACTAATCTCATCGTGAGAACGCCAGGGTTTATTTTTTATTCCACTGAGTGATAAAAGTACGGAAGCACTTGTTTATGAACCGCCTTAAAATATGCCTCGCATCATAGACGTTTTATTGAATGCTGACTCTCACTTTATTCTATTTTGCTTAGCGGAAACTTTCTTGGGCAGCGTCCATACGCGACAAATGATGATACAACTGAAAGTGATAAGCAGTTAGATGTTCTCACTCCATACTACTATTAAGTGGATCGAACTTTTTGTGCGCGGTTGATCGCACTAAGAAGATAGTGGAATAACAAATGAAACAGTTTTTCTTTCATCTATCGGGTCTAATTTGGGCACTTTAAGGAACTGCGTTAATATCACAGAATCTGAAAGTTTCACTCTGTAGAAAAGCACGGATCCCTTCGGGAAATTAAAGCCGTAAGTTAATTGGTTGCGCGTTCATCTCAGAACAAAAGGATGATTTTAAGTTAGAAGAATCACCATCAACATTCACGGCAATGTACCAATGTAACGGTGGGTACTACTGATGAGGCATGCGAGTGGTATGCTTTCTCGTAAATCCGCTTTGCGTCTCTGTTACGGAATTTGCGGAGCCGCTTCGTAGCATTTACTTGCATTTGAGTAACAGGCAATGAATATCAAGGAAAGTTCAGGAAGACGCGTTTCAAGGAGAAGATGGATATTCCGATTTTGTAAACAGATGCATATTAGAGTTTTGCTTCCCTGTCCAATAGTCTGTAACTGTTCAGTTGGTGTTTTCTACTGAACGGCTCCGCAGCGAACACCTTTTTTTCACCAGTAGTAAATGTTAGTCCCTGACTTAGTGACCATCAGTACACTGATAACAGCACTGGATCTTTAGCAAGCGTTTCTTCTTTGCGCTTGGTTGTTTCGTTGCGTAACGGAGGAAAACTTAAGAAATTTAGCCGGATATGTCTCTTAGGGGCACTTTCTTGTTGGTCGGTCACAGCTCAATAATAATTCTAATGTGGAGTGACAACCATTCATTACTTGGCACTGGAAATCCTTCAACGTGCTTACCTCAGAGAATCTTCGCACTATCAGCTTGTGTTCCGTATTGTTTGAGAATGTCAGTCTACTGAATATCAAAACAGATATAATCAAAGAATGTCCTTTCTAATACCCAACCGGTTGAACGGTAGCGCTTCGATTTTGAGCACTATCGGCCACCGCAAAACAGAGATAAGCTGCATGCTGTGGAGCAATGATGCATGATGGGAAAGTTATTTATCTCAGGAACAAGCCTTTCTCACTGTTTAATACTGACTAACTGACGAGCTAAATGACAGAAATTGAGGCACAAGTGAGTTCCATAATCCCATTATTAGGTACGTAAATGGGTGTTTCATTTGACTTCACAAAAGCTACAAGTGTTATCGGAGCAATAGTAGCGGATGCACTCCTCATGAACCAACTCGATGTGCAATATTCGCGCTAACACATTCAGGTAACCGGTGCCTCCATAGCTGGACATCCTATACAAGCTCGCAATTAGGCAATGCAGACATTGGAAATGGACCGGATCTTTTGTCCGCTGAAGAAGATACGATTTTCATTTCATTTCACCTATGCTGCGGCTCAGTAGTTTGGCGGATAAAACAACTGGGGAGCATTGCAGTCAGCGTATCTATCCGGCTGACCACCATACTGAAGAATAAAAAGTTACACACGACCTTTCACTTTCTAAATGGAACCGGTCTTTGTTAACTATGCGAAATTAAACTAATATTTGAATGCTTAGCAAACGAATGAGATTCATCGGTCAGTAGTGATCAAACCAACGAACGCACACACAAATAAGGAAGTCGCAAGTGATTTGCACGAAGCCGAGTGTAGTGCCACGCTAAGTCCTTGGCGCTTATATAAATGCGAGAAAACAAGTGTAAGTAACAAGAATAAGGGGGCAAACCTAAACGTGACGGCATAAAATACGTACCGGCATCAGTATAATCGAGGTATCGGTGTTATCCATCGGTTCCCGTAATTTTCGGCGTAATATCACTCCACCCCCAGCATAGCAGCATTTGCGCAAATTAACAGACTATCAAGGTGGTCATTGGTCACCTGGAGATGTTTCATTAACCCCGTTTTCAATAAGTTTACGGAAACAGCGCAATACAGTCGTCGCAGACATGGACGCATGACCCTAAATTACACGTTGTTTGTCGAGGCAAAAGCGACAAGGAAAACTTGCAGAAGAAGCAAGGCTTACCACCCATATGATTATAATTGAGGCAATTTTTGAGTTCACAACAACCCTAGGTTGCAAGTCTTTTACGGATTAGATCAAAGATGCAAATTCCTAAATGTTAAGCACGTAACAGGGCTTGAAGAAGAATGCAATCAAAAACAGTGACTGACAGATCTGAAATAACTCTTAGTTCGGGGCACAGGAACCATATACGGATGAATAAAATTTAGATGTCTGTAAACATACTCCCAAGGCTTGGTTGATTGTGTTTCTAGAAATGGCGATCAGTTACACAAATGAGGGATGAAACGGAGCGTTTTTAACCCATATACGTATCTGCATGAGGTATGCAGGTATATATTCATCTTGCCTAATTTTCCAGTCACATGGTGACCAAAGTATAGCAGTGAGGAAACGTCTTCGGATTTACCTTGCAAGTTGGCCAGTTGATTGCGTCGAGATAAAAATGATCATTACAGCAGAAATCATACAAGATTGCGCGAATGTGGAAATAATTATAACAGGTGCAAGCTACTAGCTTCATCTCACAAGTGAATCGGAATGTCTCGGCACCTCAAAATATTTTGGTCTTCCAATTCTTAGAAAAGCATACAT